TGCGTGGGGGGCCCCCGACCCTCCGCCTCCCGCCCCCCAAGCCCCGGCAGCGGCGGGGGAATCAGCTGTCCCGGGCTGCAGGCGGCACTGGGAGGTCTCAGCGTCACCCCGGTGCTTGGCAGCAGTCTGTCCCTGCTCCTTCCTGCCAGGCAAGTGCAGGACCCTGTTAGAGAATTATACAATGGTTGGGAGGGGCCTTAATGGTCATCCAGTTCCAAGCCCCCTGCACAGTCAGGGACACCTTCAGCTAGCCAGGTTGCTCAGAGCCCTATCCAGCTTGACCCTGAATATTTTCGGGAACGGGGCAGGTACCACCTCTCTGGGAAACCTGTTTCAGTATCTCACCACCCTCACACTAAAGAATTTCTCTTTAACATCTAATCTAAATCTACTCTCTTTCAGCTTGAAACTTCCCCTCCTTGTCATATCGCTACATGCCCTTGTAAAAAGTCCCTCCCCAGCTTTCCTGCAGTCTCTTCAGGTACTGGTAGGCCACTATAAGTTCTTCCTGGATTCTTTTCTGCACAACCCCAGGCTGAACAACCCCAGCTCTCTCTGCCTGTGTTTACAGGAGGGGTGCTTCAGCCCTTCAGTCATCTTTGTGGGCCTTCTCTGGACTCACTTCAACAGCTCTACGCCCTCCTTGTGTTGGGAACTGCTCACTTAAACTAACCATGAACTTATTTTACTATCAACTGAATTATTTTGTGAAAATAATTAATTAAGATGAAATGCTAGCTGTTCTCAGAGTTTGTAAGGACCCTGTTGTCCTCCCCAGGTACCTTCCCAGCCCCTGCTTTCATTCTCTTGCTCATCATCCTAGCAAACATTTCCATGTCTCCCGGTCCCAGTCCTTCAGGGACTGCTGCTGAGCTTGAGAGGCCACCTGCAGGCGCAGCAGCCTGGCTGTCAGCGGGAAAAGCCCCTGGGATGTCCACTGAGGCATGTCACCACATTTGAGAACCCCTATGTCAGAGTTTGAGCCCTAAAAGGCACTCTTTTTGCGCCTCTCCAAATTTCCCTGAATTTCTGCTGGTCACGCTGAGCCCAAAAGAGGGCAGCATCCCCTGTGGATTAGTTTGGGCTGAGCAAACCCAGCTGAGCCGGCTGGCTCCGTGTGTGCCCCACAGGACCTTCGCACCGCTGTTTTGGTAGCCATGGCCACCTGGAGGTCTGGGCGGGTCTGTGCTGGACCAGCTGCTTCCTGGCTCCCTTCCCCACTTCTCCGTCCTAGAGATTTTCTCCGAAACCCTTCAGCTCTCTGGGTGCCAGATCATGTGGGGGTGGATTGCAGAGCTGTTGATCTCTGGATTTCAGCTCACCTGGAAGGCCAGAGTGGGTTGGACTCAGTCAGAGGCTCATGTACCCAGCTGTGTTTGCAGGGCAGCAGTACAGACAGACAGCTGTATGTAGGTCCAGACTGGGGACACCTGGCTTTGTCCTAGGCAGCTGCTTTGCTAAAATTTGACACTTCTCAGCTGAGAAACTAAGCCAGGGGTTGATTTTTCTCTTTCTGTCTTGTTAACTTTTTTAACTGTTACCTGCCTCCAGCCATCAACTGTGCCAAGCCACCCATTACTGCCCTCAGAGATGTGGGTCTAACCAACACACCAAAAGCAGCCTGCCTGATGTGTTGCCTGAGGCTGCTTTCAGCATTGGGATCCCTGTCCTCGAGGGGAGCAGATGCTAAAAGAGCCTGAAATCTTCTAGTCCTGACTGTTGCAGGAGGCTGTATTTTCCTTCCAATTTGGACATGAGGTGGAGGTTGGCCATGAGAAAACAAAGTCTCCTGGCAAAGAGAGAGGCTGGTGGTGAATGGGGTGTCACGGTGAGCCTGGGAGCCATGGATGAGGGCCTGTCAGTGCTGTTTGGCTCCTCATGAGCTCAGGAGGCTTTTACATAGGTGACAAAACACAGCTTGGTGGCAATGCTGGCAAGTAAAGCAGTAGACGGTTGTGGACCAGCCAGACCAAGCTGTAGCTGTGAGCAGGTGATAACAAGACTTGAGCCCTGTGTGGCTGGTGAGGACTTTTCTCCCATCCCAGATGTGAAGTAGGGCATGCACCAGCCCTGCTGGAAAGGGAGAAATTCTGCACCCTGTCAGATTTGCCCACTTTTTCCCAGACAGGGCAAGAAACCTAGAGGCCTGCTGCTCGGGATGCAAGGGGTGCCAGAGGTACCCCCACTGTGGGCTTCGTGGTGCCTGCCCCAGGGTGCCTCATCCTGAAGTACCTTTGTTCCCTTCTTGTCTGCTGCCCCAGTGATGCTCTGCCTCTTTCCCCTCACTCCCACAGGCTTGGGCTTGGGAAGTGGACACTGCTAGGATCTGCAGCAGCAAGTAGAAGCTTTGTGCTGGCAGTGTTGCAATTCAGCACTGGGGTCAGGTCTAACAACATGAGCCTTTCCAATGTATTAATAATGCCCAGGAGGATACATCTGCCCTTTGGGCTGGTGCCCAAGCTCCTGATTGCAGGGCAACAATAAGCAAATTAGATGATGTGGCCCTGATGCTGGATGACCTGCGCTGAATAAGCCAGGGGAAGGAAACGGGATTAACAGAGCTGTTTCCCCATGCCACAGAGATACAGATTGTTCATTTCTTCTCTTTTAGTTTCTAATGAGGTGGTATGAAAAGCAATTCAAAGCAGAGCCTGGCCCTTTCCAAGCTCTGGGGAAGCATTTAAAGCCATCTGGTCTTGAAGATAAAATGGTCTGGCTGAAACTACCTTCCTTCCCACATTTCCCTAGCTGCTGGGTGGGGAGAACCACCTTACTTGGTGTTTCCTATTTCTCCAAGGCCATGGCTTAGTTTTTCATACCCTTACAAAGTAATCTCTTTAAGAATGTCATTGAAACTTTATCCAGACCTGGTCGAGTTGGCTTGCATATTTATTGTTATATTTATTGATTTTTAATCCCTCTTTGTAAATTGGAGAAGCAGTAGGAGGCCTTGAGCTCTCTGGAACAGAAAGAGATCCAGGGCAGGATGGTCAGAGACTGATCACAAGGAAAAAAAAACAAATCCCACAATGGGCTAATGAGTGTTGAGTTGCTGCTTCCAGCCTCAGATACCCCACGTTGCTGAAGGCTGAGAATGCACTCAGGGCACTGCTGAGGTGTTCAGCCTTTTCCCTGCCTCCCTAGGTGTCTGCTTCCAGCCACTGGTGGTAATGGGACCCCAGACTGGACTAGTATCTATTGGGTGGTAGTGGCTCAGTGTGGATAGGACTGGTGGCTTTTGGGTTACACCATTATCACACCACTCAAACAAAGTTTGGGCCTTGCTTGATGCCAGAAATGGTCACAGCTGGGGAATACATGCACACAACAGTCTCCAAAGCTTCTTCTGTGATCCTTAGTCTGATCCACACTCCCAGCTGAGCTTTCAAAAACTGGCTCTGTAGAAGGAAAAGAGTTTCCCTGCACTGTCTGCTGAGCTCATGACACTGAGACTGGGGTGGAGGGGGAAAAAAACCAAATTTGCAAGGGGGTTAGTCTGACCCCCT